ATCCATAATGAACTAGTCACAATCCTTCATACTTCTAGTAACCCCGCCACTTGGAAACTTCTCTTGACTAAATCTTGTGACATTAAAGTCTCCACCCACACACCAATTTGGTTCACAGATTGTGTTCAATCATGCCAATTCCTCCCAAAAACTCCTTTCTCAATATGAATTCAGACCGTATACTCACAAGAGCCACCACGAATTACTTCCATTTTCTATACTAACGGATTCCAAAAACATACTAGTAAGACTTTCCCTAACTTGAACTGACCTGATATCCCACATAATCACAATTCCCCTCGATCATCCAATCAAAGGCAAAGAAACCCAACTCCGAAATCGCTTTCTCCATAAACTCCCAATCAACCTCTCATTCAAAATCTCCTTTTTTATTTTCGGTAATATGACTAGCCTTAACCTAATTAATTCTCCTTGATCACCCCTCTATTCTTGGCCGAACCCACACCCTGACATTTCAAGGCACAATCTTCATATATAATCTATGATCCCCACTTGTTTCTTGCCTTTTTTGTCATAATTGACACTGCACTCGAAGTTCATAAGCTCCCTTACTCCTCGCTTAGCTTATTCCTTTTCAGATTCTTTCGGCCCAATCTTACTTGGCTCCCCTTTTTGAACTCCCTCTACCACTGCTGATTGTCAACCATTCCTCCAATGAAAAGGCGTTGATCAGTTGGACGAAAAGAATGTAATCCTTCTCAACATCTATCTTCATGAGGTTAATCTCCAAAACATTTACGGGTGATCCTCGATTGGTTCCCTCCCCTAAACAACCATTTAAAACCAATTTTCTTTCCTCAAGAACACATTTCAACGCGTAGATTACAATTAGCTGACCCTTGTTGTGTGAAATAGACTGTTTCTCACCGACTCATACCCCACTGTTGGAATTATTGCAAGTGAGGAGTCCCCACCACAAAAAGTAGAATTTGTTTGAGACGGCATGATCATAGGAACACTAACCTAATCTCTGGTTGTAGACCAATCCCCATATCGTTCTATTATGAACAATCTTGGCATGTCACCTGTGATGTCGTCTCCATCTTCTCATTTTCCGAATCTGAAATGTAAAATCCCTCGTCTTTGGAGTCTTCAATTTCACTTTCTGATGACCTCCAAAAGAGATTAACGCCCAGCTCCTCTTCCCTCCCTTTTGTTACTTCTTCCACCAAATCCTCTCTTCCTTCCATAAACTCGTTCCCAACTTGAAATTCCTATCAAAATGGCTTTTGACTCCTATTAAAGCGATAACGTTGAGATAGCAAATTTTTCCTTACCTGTGATTGAGACTTGCTGTTGACTTATTCGTATTTGATTAAGTGAGCATCAATTCCAGTCAATGTTTCTGCCTGGTTCTGTCGTTTTAAAGAAGCAGTAGATATCTCGCCCCTCATGAAATTCTCCTTTTCCCATGGCTTACAAAAACGCCACTTTACAAAAGAGGATTCTTCATATGTATCGTCGTTCGAGTTCTAGGGCTTTTAAAATTGGGCCTGAACTCGCGTACTTCTCAACCTCACTAGATGATGAATGGGCATTCCTTGATTTCATTTTATTATGGAGCCCATTCGGCCCAGATCAGTTGTGAGGCCCGTTAGGGAAAATGACTCATGGGTGGTCCTCCCCATCCATAAAATTTTATAACAGATTCAATGCATCAAATCTGTTACTTAAATGAATTAAAGAGCCTTTGAGAATTGCTAATAACGTCCTTCCCTTTGGACCCACTCCTCCCACTATTCCAGAGATTTTTGGGGGCTTCTCCATTATTCTCCTCCTGCACACGTGATTGAACTTCCGATGTTTCCTCTCCCACAACACTGTTTTCCATAAATTATTTTTTTCCCTATTTTCCCCATCACGTTCTCTAACTCTCCAGATCTTCTCACTATTTCTCCTGAATTTTTCATGTTTTTCCCTATTTCAACATTGTACCATTCAGTTCGTGAGACACATCTTCTTCGTCGAGAATTGCAAGGCCTCTGCAAATCATATCTCTAATTCTACAGCCCAGATTATTTTCCCAATCTCCCCTGATGTTGACGAGGCCAAGATGAATTTTCTTCTCCTTGACATGATGTTTCCATAATTAACTTCATCAAACCTACTATTAGACCTCTTCTTTTTATCTTGGCAAATCTTAAAAAGTCTAGTTAAGCATTTCTTGAGCAATCTCCAACAAACCTCCACATGCATCCTCTATGATCTTAAGGGAATGAACATTCCGCATGGTTAGCCAGAGGCCTTCAATCCCTATCTAGGCATTTGTGCTTCTATCTAGATACAATCCCAATGAGAATAAATGGACCATGACTCCATTTTTGCGAGGAGCATTCTATTATAAACCAACCTTGTTTCTTTTAAGAGTTCATCTCCCATCATCTCCGCACCAAAGTCACAGCTCTGTCTGCTGCCATGGAATTACCTCGAATTTTCTCCTGGTCCTATTTTCGAGAGCCTTATTTATTGTTCCTCAATCATTCTCTAGTCTGTTTCTGTAGATGACTATTGTCTGTCTACAAGACTTTGACTGCAAGCCTACCAGTAGTTGCCCCTTCTTCTTCCCCGTTGGACCCCTTCTTGCTTTTTGCCCTTCTATCTTCCATAACATACCGGTTTTTACCTGCATCTGTCATCTTTATCGGACGTCTAAAGATGTTTTGAATGCAAGCTCTAAACTCCTTCCACTCTCTAAGGTGTTTTCCCCATAACTATAATGGGCTAGTTTGGTAATACTGTAGATTTAGAAAAAATTGCTTTACGTTGTGCTGAAAGAAAAAACAGCTGCTACAAAAAGTAGTTGAGTGTTTGATAAACTGTAATTATACAAGTGTTGTTGATTCCAAAAGCAATGTAATAGCATTTGGTAAATTATGAGATTGAATTACTGTGGGTAGTTAAGACGGCCGTAATTAATAATTTTAAATTAATATATAAAGTAATTAATAATTAATAATTATTTAACAAATAAAAAATTGATATATTAATAATATAATAATAATGGTCAAATTATCATTAATGAGTACATTAGTAATTAAACTATATATATAATAAATTAATATGCTAAATAATTATAAATAATAATTAGTAATTAATTATAAATAATTATTAAATAAGTAATGTACTCGTATTTATTAGATTATAAGTAATCAATTAGCGTATTAAGAAAAATAATTAGTATATACATAATTTATTAATATTCCTTTTACTACTTAAATTATTAACTTTTAGTTACACAATTAAATAATTAGTTAATTAATTACTAATGTTTATTTAATAATCTATTATATTATTCTTTTTATAATGATTAATTACTAATTATCAATTATTAATTATTATTGATTAATAGATTACATATTGATAATTATAATTTAATATTAATTATTAATTGAGTAATTACTATTTATTTTTTATTTACCAACTATTTACTAATTAATAGATTCTAATTAACATAACATATGATTGATAAATTAATTATTAATTATTTATCTAATAACCTATTATTAATTGTTTTATTGTTAATATGTTATATAATTAATTTTTGGCAATTAATCTTTAACTAAATAAATAATTACTATATTATTTAATATTTTATTAACAAAATTAAAAACTTAATAGTAATAAATTAATATTTAATTAATAATTAAGTAATTACTATCTATTTATTAGTTATTAAGTATATCTATTTATTAATTATTAATTAATATATAATATAATTAGTAATTAATAATAAATTATTTAATACAACTTCATTAATAATCATTAATTGTACTATGTTGATTCCCGCACAATCTAAAAGCCAAAGTTGCCTTTGGGCTGCTTCTAATTTTGGTTGTAGATTCTTCAAAAATTCTTTAAAAATCACTTTTTATAGTTTTTCCCAATCACCATTATTAGCTTCTGATGGCTATGAGAAGTGATTTTAGACTCCAAGAAGCACTACCAAACGCACCCAATGTTCTTCAAATCTCCATTTTGAATCATCATCAATTTCATTACGCTTCCTGCTTTAATCTTGTTGCATTGAAGTAGCAATCTATATTTCGATCCAACGGAAAACCTTCTAAATCCTCCATTAGACCTTGTTTCCAAAGCTTCCCCAGTAGTCGTCCTTAGCCAATATGCTCCCCCCAAGTCCAGACGGATAGTGAAGTCTTGCACTCTATTCCTCTCTGTGATCCTAGCCACACTACCCGCCTCAATGACTTTGAAAATGAAAATTTTGTGTTTAGTTATGAAATCCTGACTTAGGTGTTTGTAACTCATCCTGACTAACGGACAAGACATGACACTAATAACTCATGAAGTCTAGAGAGAATAGAGCTTCTCTCAAGTATGAAATATGAAAATAAATTGTCCATAAGAAGCAAAATACAAAAATATTTTCAAAATTAGAACTAATTTTAATCAAAGTGAAACGTTAAAATGAACTTCCTTCCTATACTTTCGAAGCAAAGGAGCAGAACTCTTGGTCAAGCTACATAAATTCTGGTTGAATACAATCACTTTTGTGTTGGAAGGGAATTGGAGATCAAAATAATGAAGCCTTTGATAAAGCAACCGTTTACACACAGAAACACATGGAAGTGCCAAAAGATAAAACATATATAAAGTTCTCCACTTTTAGGGAACGGGGATTATTCATAATGAGTTGTTCATCATTTATTTTAGTATAACTGCTGAGATCCTTTTGTCAAATATAGGTAGCATGAAGATTTAGTGTGTTTTGGTGAACCAGCTTAAGTCCTAAATCTTGTACTTTTCGCACGCACTGTAAATACAAGTACTTCTACTTACAGAAGAAAAGAGAGCGCTTTGGCCATTCTCATAAGTAGGCAACTGGAAACATTAATTTTGGAACTAATTGAACATATAAAGACTGTAATTATGAAAGCAATGAAGGATGCGACTTGATATTCATAAAGTAAGTGAAACAAAAAACGATCATGCCATTGAACAAAACTGGATTCAAATTATACCTTAGATGTGATCTCCTTTGTGCCTGCTTGAACCACATTCGCAGCCGACTGAGCCGCAGATGCGGCAACCAAAGATAATCTACCAAAACCCTATACCACAACAACAAAGCAAATAAGTTTCTTTAGAACGAACCAAGAAAAATTCATCAAAACCCATTATCAAATAAACTGCTTTAGAGCATAACGAACACCATTCTCAATCATCAATCAAATAAATTGCTTTCGAACATACTCAAAATACATTCTTTATCAAAACCACTAGCAAATCATCAAAACCACTATCAAATAAAATGCTTTAGAATCGAACGTACTAAAAAAGCATATATTCCCAATCAAAATCACGCACCAAATTATCAAAACCATAAAGGAAGAATGAAATGTTCACCTGAGAAACAACAGAAAAGACATCCGTTTCGGTATTATTATTCCTCTGAGAAGGCGCGGGGCTCGATCCGAACCCTACGTACTTTCCGCCTTGCGAAGGCGGAAGCCCCTCCGGTCGAGAGTCGTTCTCCGACATCTTCCTCGCAAAGAAGCCCTCCTTATTCGCCGCCGAAGCCTCCAACTGCACCCTCGTGTAGATGTCCTCCGTCGATCTCGACCTCGTTGGCTGCAATCCTCCTTCGCCGCCATTATTAACGCCTCTCACATTCCCCGTCGACTGATTCCTTCGCATATCAGTCGACGATCTAAATCCATCGTCGTTGTCCCAACTATCCCAACCTCCACCGCCGCCGCCGCCGCCGCCGTTATTCCGAGCCAAAGGCGGCTTCTTGTTGAGAGCCTCCTTGACAACAGGCGGGTCCCGCCACGGACGGCCTTCGGCTAGGGCTTGAATCCGGTCGCGGTAGACAGAGGCGGCGTTGGTGTTGTACTTGGTGACAATGTCGGTCTCCTTAGGGATGCCGTACTGAGCGAGGAAGGCGTTGAGCCTGTCGTTGCCGCCGGACTCCATCTTCTTGATCTGGATCTCGGACCATGAATCCATAGTGACAGATCGGACGAAGGAGATGTGGACGCCGAGGCCGCGGTGCTTGCCGGAGCACTCCAAGCACATGAAGACGCCATAGGAGACGGACGCCCACTGCGGATTCTTCTGCGAGCAATCGACGCAGATCTTGTTCCCTGGCTGCGATTGCAGATTCCGAAGCCGCCTCGATGCCGCCATTTCTCCTCTCCGATCCGATCAGATCGATCTGAATCCGATTACAAATTGGATCAGAAATCAGAAAACAAAAAGGAAATAGAAGAGATCGGAGAATCAAGGAACCGATTTGAAGAAAGGAAAATAAAAAATCGAAAGAGAAAATGAACCCAGAAAATTAAGGGGGAAAATTGGCTTGTGTTGAGGAGATGAATGAGGGATCACCGACACACAGCGTTAATCCGTCAGAGGAACATGTTTAGGCCACTGCTTCTTCTTCTGCTTTCTTTCTCTACGTTTTCTCTCTCCTCTTTATTCTATTTATTTTATTTGGACTTCCATTTAAGTTTTTAATTTGAAAAGTGCGTTAATACTTAATTTTAAAATAAATTTATTTTTAATATAAAGTAAAAATGATATTATTTTAACACTCATTTTGATTTGATCTAAAATTAATTTTAAAATTATGTTTAGTTAATTTTTTAAAATATTATTTTAAATATAATAAAAAAATAAATTTATTTTTAATATAAAGTAAAAATGATATTATTTTAACACTCATTTTGATTTGATCTAAAATTAATTTTAAAATTATGTTTAGTTAATTTTTTAAAATATTATTTTAAATATAATAAAAAAATAAAATTATATTTATTAATTTATATATTATAATATTATTAATAAGTATTAAAAATGAAAATAGTTTTTAATTACTTTCTACTTTTTTTA